CTTTTTGGTGTGGTGGCTCCGCTACTTCTTCCTTGCAGTTGCATCATTCCTTCGGTTTTTCTGCACTGCAAATGTGTTAAATAGCGTAGGGTCAAGAAACGGAATGAAACGGAAAAAAGATTCGGGCTCACCGAAGGGGTTTTCTAGTTTCAAGTGCAATAGCTTAGCCGAGCTCCACCCTCTATTTCTGGCTTTCCCTTTGGTTTTCCAACGTTGATAAGGGTTTTGTGTGGTTTACAATGGAAAAACAGAACGGATGGGAGAAAAATTCACTTACCGGTATCGGTTTGGATCTCCGGTGGGGCGGCGATGGTAGTCCGTCTTCTTCTCTAGTGATTGGTTCACTTTCTGGCTGCCTCTCTTCTTCTTCTCCGGCAATCTCTAGCGGTTAGGGTTTTGGGGAGTCCACATAGAGAGGTTTAAATACCTCTTCGTGTTCGATCTGGGCCGTTCGTTCAGGCCCGCGTGGGCCAATCTCGACTATTAAATCTCACCTATTTGGGAAGCAAATCAGAGTCGTTTGATTGAAAACACGTGGGTCGTTCATGCACGCAGGAGTAAATTCAGATCGTCGGATCGATTAGCACGTGGATTGCTCGCGTGGCCTCTCGTGTGGAACGCATACTGACGTGTTTGCCATGCGGCGCACGACGATTGCTAGTGCTGCTGACGTGGTCGACCTACGTGTCCAATTTTTTTATTTTTGCACTTTGGCCCCAATTTTCAAAATTTCATTTCAAATAGATCATTTCTTATTTTCAGTTTGACCCATCTCTTTTAAAATTATTTTTAAATACATTCAAAATACATATTTCTTCAAAAATTCTAAAAAATTAAAAATTTCAAAATTATTATTAATATAAATTTTGTCATCCCGAACCTAAATCCCGAGTTCGGGGTGTTACAAACTACTTCTACATAGAGAAATTACTTCTACATATGCTATTTTGGATATTTAATTTAATTTTTTTTATATTTATTTATATTTTATAGTACATGTTATATATAGATACTTTATTAATACAATTGATTTAAAAAAAAAAAAGAAAGATAACCATTGAATAGGACGTGTTACTTTTTATTTTTTGTAATAAAAAAAATAAATTATTAAATTATTAATATTTAATTTTTAACATTTATTACAATTTGATTCTTAACGTTTTGTTATTTATAATATTATTTTTAACATTTTTTTATTTGTTCTACACGTCCACTTTTGTTCATAAACAGAAAATACTAAATTAGTTAAGTCATGTTTTGATGCTCCAAAAAACAATTCAAAAAATAGTTGTTACTCAATAATTGAGTTAATAAATAAACAAAAATTTATTAATTAGTTAATATTAATTTTTATTTACTTTTTAATACATACAAATATAATTTAATTATTTTATTTTTTTCTAAAAAATAAAATTTTAAATAAATAAAATTATAATAAATAATACATATATTAAATTAAAAAATTAATTTAATAATTTATCATAAATAAAATACAAACCTTCAGAGATATAGGGCGTGAACACACGCGCGCCTTTATCAATCTCATTAAGTAATCACAAAACTGAAAAGCGAGCATAAGACGCATAAAAGGCCCAGAGACGAATAAAATATACAGAATCGGAGGAGAAGAAAGAAAAGGTTTTTCAATGGCGGAACAAGGTAAACCAGACGCGCAGCTCTTCCAGCTTCTCTCCGGTCTCCTCCAACAGGTTTCCTTTCGACTTTCGTTTTCTCTTTTTCTATCTTTTAATTCTCTTTTTCTCGCTTCACATCCCTTGATTTGGTTATTGTTAAATCTCTGTTTGTTTTGGGCGTCAATAGATCAAATTAGCTTATAGTTGTGGTCGAAATCTCCCAATTCGTCAATTAGATAAAACTTACTATCTGGATATTGGAATTCTTTTCTGTTTTTCTGATGAACCATAATTTACCAGCAAGTAACTGCAATTTATATTTATATTTATATTAATCACATATTTCTCGTAATATCTTCGTTCACTATCGTATTTTATGGGCACGCCTGTGTGGTCATAAGATTCTGATTGATCAATTGATTATTCTAAGTTTTAGTCAACTTAAGCATGTGTTCTGAGCGGTTATTGAGTGTACTCCCCTGCAATCTTTAGTTATTGGGGTAAATTATGGGAAGATTATGTCTAGTATGTACTTTTCTTGTATTCACTTGGGAAACCATGTGAAGTATCTGCATATAGGTTTTGTTCTTCAATAATGTCACTAATTCCGCACTTCCACTGCTGGTTCTTTGTTGATGAAGACATCTTTTATTTGTTGGGCGTGGAAAGAAAAGGAAAATTGCGCGCTTCCTGTTATGCATGAAGAGATTTTTTGGTACTGTAAGTGCTGCACACCAGCAGGTAAAGAGCTCTTACCCTTGGAAAGAAGAGGGAAGGATATAACCATCAGGGCTAAACATCCGTTTTGGCTAGCATGAATGATCTTCATTTTTGGGGTTTTCGCAAATTCTCCGGAAGAAATTCAGCTGATGAGAATGGATAATGAGGCAAAGGAGAGTTTCTTTTGCTGTGTCGTATTTGTATATGATAGATTTCTTATTACTATGGAAAAATGATCTTGATGCTGGTGTCTTCACAAAATTTCCTGGAAGAAGTTCATCGGCTAGAATGAACAATGAAGCAACGGGGACCGTTAGGATATCAAAACAATGAGTGGCATGAGTTTTAAGATGGCATTTTGTTTTTTTCTTGTGGCACATCCATTTAGAGTGTTGTTCCAGAATATTGCTGTTGGACTCTTCTCTAAATATTCTTTCCGTTCATCTTTTGCTCATTAGATTTTTTACAATAGGTCGAAGAGTTGACCAAACAAGAAGAGGTTGAATTGCGATCAAAAATTGAAGCCCTTGGATTGGAGGTTACAAAGGTTCCTTCAAAGTCTGCGCAAAATCTTGATGAGGTATAACTGGTTTCATTAAAAGATCATGGTGTTAGCTTTTTTTATCAATGCATACAGCTCTTGTTGTGTGACTATTGTCTTCTAGTGTGTGTTATTCCTATGTATTTTCACTGCTTTTTTCTGTTTTCTCTGCCTCCTCAGATGGAAATAGCCAGGGAGTTGGATAAATTATCTGCAAAATTAGACCATGTTGATGAGATGATATCATCAGCTCTGGCTGCAGACCCTCAGGTGCAATCGCTACTGAGTAATACTTCTGATGTGTGGATGCCGGTTATTACTGCCAGTGCTGATGAGAGACGCAATTTTTCAGCATCACTTGGGGATGAAATTGCTGAAGCTAAACCAAAAAATGCCAAATAGTATTTTTGTGGATGCCATGCTTCAAAGTATAATAGATGCTGTTTTTGGTTTTTCAGTCATCAGTTCGCAAAAAGCGAAACTGGTGACCCAACAAAGTTGGTTTCTCTCTTTTTTGCTTTTTTTTTTTTTTTTCATTTTTCATTAAAGACTGATAGAAAGCAAACGACCTGATGTGCCTGCTCAGTAGTAAGTGAGAAATTGTTGGTCATACAGGCTTCACTTTTCATTAGCTGTATCTTGATGTATACGTTCATGGAGATTGGATGAATGGATTAGGAGTTTCAACAATCCTATGATCTGCATCCCCATCTCAATGCGTGTTTTTCCATGGAAAATACTTTTTACCCTCAGTTGTATAATTTCATGCCTGTATGGATATGTGATCTACTGATTTCAAATGGAACCATCGGCAAGTAGTTTGTGCCCTGATTGTATAATTTCATATGTGTATAATTTGCCATTCAAAGTTATCAATCATCTAACATCAACCAATTGAAGTTACTAATGCATTATCTCAGGCACCAGGGGAGGCTTTGCCTTATTCCAAAAGATGTTTAGGTAGGAACTAAAATGCGTTGGAAGATGCTACCAGTTCCATATATTGTATAATAATGGAGCAGCAACGATTTTCCAGCAATGAAAATATACTGAAATTTAGGAGAGAATGCTATGTTTCAGTTGCAATGATTTTGTGATTTCAAGGCATTCAAGACTGAGAAATCAGATGAGAGTGAAACTGCAGGTAAACATTTTGATAAACAACTTCTGAATGCTTCAGTATATATGCAACAATAACTCTAATTCTTATTGAAACAACTTAGCAAAAAGGCCAAGCAGCCACAGTATAATGGATCCACCTATCCAGCAAATTAATAAGAAGACAAGTACTCCAGCCAAAATAGTAAGGAAAGGAGGGCCTTGGCCAGCATCATTATCTGATTTCTCTTCCAATTTTTCCCCAGAAGGATTTGAGTTTGATGCCAACACTCTGAACAATCTGTACTTTGGTTGCAATTTTACAATGTGCTTGCACCTGAATTTACAAAATATATTGAGTAACAAACCTGAAAATTTGTGAAGTAGCATTCTAAGATCTGTACCAATTTACCACCAAAATGAAAGAATCAAATTGTTCACTGAATCATGGATTTTTATTCCACTATAAGTGATCATTTTCTTTCCCATGAAACATAATGAGGAGTTTGTTTTCAACATACAGTCCTGTAATTTTAATTTTGACAACCGATCTATCGGAAAAACAAAGGGACCTGATTACCGACTTCTATCATTCATATGAAGTTCAGAAGGAAAAACCCCACTCATCATGCTCAAATTAAAATGACAATTTGACTGTAGGATGCATGAGATATAAATCAACAAATACCATCCAGCAGTTTTTGGTGTTCCAACATTAGTTATATTGAACAAGTTCCAAATATGGAAAACTTGAGGCCAGAGAAGCTTCGCTGTTAGAACCAACCTGATAGTCAGGACTAATGTTCTAACATGATCATCTTTAGAAACTTTCAGACTATGTAAAACTCTTTATAGTTACCAGGTCAGGCCTTATTTGTTCAGTTTGGGCTAGACAGTTCTTTGAATGATGTTCTTCTTTTCTCCCGAAAAAAAAAATCAACAAAAAAATATGCCAAAAGATTATCCCCATAAGACCAAACCAGTTTTCCTCCCCATTGAAAAGATGACTAACGAAAGAAAGTTCAAACTAAAAATTGAACCAAACCCTGAATTTCAACCCCCAAACTTCACCATTCCTCAGGAAAGTTGTTTCTGAAGTTCAGTTTCACTGAAATAGAATGATTAGCAAGTTACAATCTTGCTTGCCAACATGAAAGGAGACTCTTCAATTCTGAAGCAAATGATTATTTAGCCTCAGATCCAAATAAAGATTACCTAACACCAGTAATCCCCATTTTTCCATAACCTAATCAGCAAGCAATCTGTGAATACACAATGCAGCGACACACAATAATCTTACAATGCTCTGCGATTCGACGAAGATATATCGTATAATTTTTTTTTCAAGAAAATGAGTAATCACACGCATTAATAGCTAAAATTCCTTGTAATTCTAGATTAAGCTACGTTCCTCGAACATAACGAAAAAGAAAATACCTTATACTGAAGGGGAGAAGAGGGGCATGGGGAGCGAGACGAGAAGCTACAGAGAAGTGAAGTTTAGGTGCAGTTGCTGGACGGAAAAACCCTTGAACCAGCGGTGATTGTGGAGTAGTAATAAAGAGAGACGTCATCTTCGTTGTTTCGTCGGTTTCTGGTTGGGGGAGAAGAGAGAGTACAGGCAACTGGATTTGTACAACTTCAGTGCACAACAAGCTCCCAAGAGTACATAAAGATTGCACATCCGTAGTAGACATTGAAGTTTCATCGCGAAGAGCTACTGGTTATGGATGCTGACACATGGACTGGGCTTTTAGAGCTTCGGAAAGTTTCAGAACATTTACATCTTCAAATAAATATAAAATCATTATTGAATTTATTTAAAAATTTACACTTAATTATTAATTTATTAAAAATAATAAAAATTTATATATAAAAAATTTCTCATATAATTAAATAATTTTAAGTTTATAAATTTCATCAAAATTTTTAAAAGTGTTTCTAATATTGCTCAAAATGTATATTTTATTATTTAAAAAAAAAAAACTACAACGTGTAAAATATATATTAAAATTAGCACCAATAAGATGTCAATCTACGTATAAAAATTTATGAATCTATTAAAATATTAATAAAATTCTTTAAATTTTTTACTAAATAAAAAAAATAATTCTGTAATAAAGTGTCAAATTTTTAAACCTATCTATTATTAAGTAAATCAAAATTACTCTCGTTATCGACCCTTCAAAAAACTCTTTTGTTTATCTCATTTCACACTATTCACACTATCCAAAAGACGGGATTCGATATTTATTATACAAGTAAAATAATTCTATTTATAGTTTCAATTTTATGATAATGTACTTAAGAAATACTAATGGTATAACTGAGCTGAAATTAAAATATTCTTCAATTTATATGTAATCCAAGTTAATACAGTTATATCCCACCATACTAAATTTAGTGTTGCAAAATATGGCAGCAAACAAAATATGAACTTACATTTTTAAAGTAATATACCAAATAGATGAGGCTATCAAAACCCTCTATGCATACCTACATAAATTCACCCTCATCTCACAAGAACACGAATCCTCTTTATTGAAAGTTTTACCATTTGAAATGAGAAATTATGCATGCTGATTCTCTGAATGATCTCTGAATGATCTTACCTGTGTTATTTCATTGCCTCTTTGTATTTTCCATCGAAGAGTTCTTCATGTCGGTCTATCCCATGGAACAGCATGTGCTTTAAATAAAATTCCAAAAACTGTAGGTGAAAAAGGAGTAAATTACTCCATGTGAGCGAAGGAGGTAGTCTAAATGCCTTACAAGTGATTCTACTGAACTAAAAAATCGTGTACAGGATGCCGACATCCATAACAAAACCTCAGACTTCAGTATTTTCTGCACTGTTGCTCCCCAAGATTAATATGATGTTGCCTTCTTGCAGTGATTTTCAAGCCATTCCATTGTGACACTTTTTGGCCTCTCTAGTGGTAATCCAAGAGCTCGATCCCATATCAGCTGAACCAACAGAAGGGGAAAAAATTGATTAACTATAAGGAACAGTTATTGATCAAAAGTAAATCAAAATTTATGGCAGAGCAAACCTGTGAGCAAATCCCGATGCTCCTTGAAACACCAAAAAGAACAGTGTAGTATCTGGAAACCAACAATTTTTAAGAATGTTTACTATCTTTCTGGGAACTGAGAGAATATTCAAGCCAAAATTCAATAATGATCATCATCTTGTTTAGAGACCATCTTCATACCTCGCTTCGGTCAGACCATAATGGTTCAGCAGGACCCCACTGTGAGCATCAACATTGGGCCAGGGGTTTTTAACCTTTCATAAGCATCCAAAAAGACCAAATGCAAACAGAATCAGAATCCAATTCCAAATCTCTAGAAGAAATATAATACAAAAGGTTTTGGCTCCAAAAAACCGACATAAAAATGACAATGTAGCAGACTATATACTAGTTCAGGATTATGGCAGAGCTGAGTCCATCAGAACACAAGTTCCTATCTCAGTTTCACTGACCCTTCACCTAAATACTTATTAAAACATTTAATCATGATTCCAGATTTCATCAAAAACTTAAATGCAACATTATGTGATTGAAATCTCATGCTTATATTGATTTTCTCCATATTTTTCTTAGTTTCTTCTAGATATTTGTCCAGACAAAATGACTAGAAACCATGTGGGTTCTGCTTGACGCAGATTCAAATCCGGTGGTTAACCGTCTTCTAACTCTGCCTTAGAAGGTATAAACGTTAGCTTTTTTAAATCTTCCGAACAAAAATTTCATCCAAAGGAAACATAAGATAAAGAAAAAGGATTACCTTGCCTAGCTCAGTCAGGATAGGAGGTACCACTTCATACAGCTTAGAAACCTGTTACGTTGAGGAATAAATTAGCTCGTGAAATAATGAATAAAACACAGCTCACACTCAATTAATGTTCTGTAATCAAGATATAAGTTACAACCAGCTGGAACAACGGATCATCAGGTAAATGCTTCAAAGCAAATTCCCTTTGACACGTATATCTAGGGTCTGTTTTACGCAAAACTCCATGACCAAATCCTGGAACAACCTGCCATTTGAGAAGTAACTTACTTTGAGAAGCAAATGAAATAATGATTATTAAGCAACCAAAAAGAAAACTGCAAATGCAGCAAAAAAATTGAATACCCCAAGCAAGTCACCATAATACAGTTCTCTTTGCCCCATTTAAGCATTTTATAGCACTTTGAAATTTTTACAAAAATCAACTCACCTAAAATCATGACAATATAGCAAAACTGAAATATTTTCACTTCCTTCTAAATTGTCCTTATCCCTTAGATGATTTAGTTTACTGGTTATGGAAAATTTTAATTAATTCTAAAAAGCAGGAAAGAAGAACATTTAGATCACAAAAGAAAAGAAGCAACATGTTTGCGTGAAGTTTAACAGAGCATCAAGGAATGTGCATCCATAGTTGATGTAACAGCAACTTCTTTGTAAACCAACTATAGGATCATGAGTGTGTCATTACCTTGCCACCATTTAATGTTTTCCAGACATAGTCTTTCAATTGTTCAGTGGTTATGTTCTCTCCACACTCATTTACTACAGATTTGATCCAAAGCAAAACTTCCTGCACAGCATTGAAAAAAAAAAAAAGACCACAAAGCAAGAAGTTATACGTCTGTAGAGAAAAACCACCATCATAGTTATACAAGAGCAGCAGTGAACCATAAAACAAAGCTTAGCAAAGACCCAATGACCAAAAAGAAAGCGAGCTAATACATTATCTTCTATAATCAAACATTGCACAAAATGCTGAATGCGCATTTATCAGGAACATTTTCGCAGCAGATTACTCCTCTATCACAGATTGATGGTTAGATTGACAGCAGACTCCGAAAATTTGGGTGATTTTACTGACTGTATTTTTATGTTGATAAGCTTGATTGACTTTATATCAACATTACTTGTTTTTCTTTTTAGGATCATTTTTAGTTTTTTATTTATAGATAAATTCTACTGGGGGATATTTCTGTAAATTGACAATATTGATGGTTTTCAACCTTTGATTCAGTATTGGTGGCTTTGAGTTTTTCAGATTGTAAAGGTTAAACCCAACAAAAATAGCAAGAACCTTTGATTCAGTATTGGTGGCTTTGAGTTTTTCAGATTGTAAAGGCTAAACCCAACAAAAATAGCAAGCAAATTAAGCTCAAGTCTAGAGCAAACTCCAGAGTAGAGCAAACAAACAGTAAAGCATATCTGAAGTAATTGCTAGCCAAGGATAACATTCCCTGCATGATTACTTACAAAGGTTTTTTGAGCATTTACTGCAATAGGTTGTGTGAACCAAACACTTATTAGTAAATAAGAAACAGACTCCAACTAATTCCTAAAAATATATGAACTTTATCAAATAGAATTTGCAAGTAACCTCAACATGAATGTATTTAACTTCTCAAAAAAAACCATCATATCAGCAAAAATCTTAAATACACCTTATTAAGCAAAAACATCATATGAGTAAACAATCTTAATTCACCCAATCCGGCAACATACAATTGTCTCCATGAATAAGAACCAAAATTTTTTAACAATAATGATAAGTACTAACACAAGTAGTTCAATAAAGTGGTCCGGACTTAAAAGAGGTCCAATACCATAAACAATTACATGTTGGTGGCTTGAAAAACTAGTTGATTGTTGAATAAATGGATCAAAATATGATAATTGTACCTAACAACAGAATTCTACCACCAGGGAACAAAATCAAGCACATCAATAACAAAATTTGGCATAGCAATGAATATAATACCTGATTAGCCAACCCATGAAGTGGCCCTGCTAAACCATTTAATGCAGCCGCAAATGAGAGATACGGATCTGATAGTGCGCTACCCACCTGTACCGAGCAAGTTAATCACAATGAATACATGAACACATGAGTTATAAATTAACATAAAAGAGACAAGAATATAAGTGACTTGCACAGAAATAGTATCTGAGTATCAGAATCGTGCTAAAAATGATAACACAATACTCTTTCCAAGAACCAAAGAAAAAAGGAACTTACGAGATGACCAGTGTGAGCACTAACGTTGCCACCTTCATGATCACTGCAATGAAGGGAAAGGTCACAATGGACAGAGTCATATGAGAGCATTCTCAAAATTGTGACAATAAAATGCTAAATCATTGAGTTTAACATCAGAATACTACTTACAGGTCTAAAGAAGAGCAAAATATATACAAACCTATGGATAGTGACATAAAGTCTCATGAGCTCTAGCATTTGAGGACTATCAAATCCCAACATGTGTGAAAAGTTGCCACCATAATCCAAACAATCATCCGTGGGAATTGTTTTACCATCCTTGTACATTCTTCAAAAACAAAATGGAAGAGTAAATTCAACTTGTGATTCAGAAATCCTCAAAAAATATTGTTAAAGAAAATTAGACTAGCGCCTATCTCAATTCCAAAAATCTAGCAACCACAAAACCACAGAGAGAGAAAGAGACTGTTTATAAACAATATCACGCCACATGCATAGTCCAAGCTGGCCTAAACCTTGTAGATAAAAATTAAATTGCCCCTAATTGATTGAACACCAAAAAATATCCCCGTAACTCATAAATTCAAATGTCTATATAACAGTCAACAAGAGCTAAGCAGAAGTTCAATAAGTTGGAGAAGTTGTAAAGATACAATGGCGCCAACAATTGAAGAATGGATGAGTTATTTTTTTATCTCTGACCTTCGATAAACATATGCAGCTACCACTGGTACACGAGCAATCAGACTAAGAGAGTCCTCATATGCAGGCTCCCAGTACCTGAATTTAACATTAAGTTACAATGCTAGAAGAACTATTATAAGGAGAAGTCAGAAAATGTTAAGAGGCTTACTTTGACTTATGAATCCCCTTCTCATATGCCTTCTGAAATTCACTTTGGACCTAAAGGCAGCAGTAAGAACACTAAGTTACTTGCATCAGATTACAGAAACAAGACAATGTTGAGCAAGTATGGCCTTCTTAGCAAGTCACATCAAAGTTACCAATTGATATCTTTTGCTAAATCATTTGTATTCAAATAAAATATGAGGTTATAGCAAAGATCTGAAAAGCTCCACAAGTAATGGTGTTTCCCTCCATCAACAGCCTCCCAAGATCAATGGTTCTATATATATATATAAAAGAAGCATTATTTGGAAGAGAAACTAAAATAATACAAAAAGGAGGACACAGGATCCTCCTGTAGCAACCTCAAAACCATAAGAACAAAGGAGAAAAGCAGAAAAGGGAAGCCAACACAAGATAACAGTCCAGCCTTTCCGCAAACCCCCCCCCCCCCCTCTCCCGCTACCCACATACACACAATACTATGAGCATTAATCCAAAGAGAAACCAAAAAAACTAATCTCAGACCAACAGAGGGGATTGTAATAAGTCACAAAGTGAGATGATTTACCCAGTGAGAAACTTATTAAAGAACAAAAGCTTAAAAATTTAGAAATGGAAAGGAAGCCATGATTATTATTATTTACCACAGAAATATTTTATCCAGTTCCATTTAAAAGGTTCTTATCTGTTTACGTTAACATTCATGGTTTATTTAGAGGGAAAGGTGTAAAAAAATTAAAGTCAACGACATTATTCTCAAACACGAAATCCTTAATGGATCCAGTTCCACAATTCATCAAGCTCTCACACTGACAGATTTCATATTGACTATAACAAGGAGTAACGAGATTAAAAAAAGTGAACCACAAAGGCAGTAAGCAAGAGAATATGTCAAGAACAGTCATCAACCTGGAGGGCCATAACACCAGTTGCAAACTGAGTCATGGGGTGAGCTGTGACCGGCAGAGCATCAATAGCCTTATACACATAATCTGGCATCAAAAAGCCAGAAGTCAATGATAACAAAAATCAATTGCTAATGATGCAAAATTGTGTGAATGTTCATTGAGAGTAATCTAAATCTGCCAAGTAGAGAAAACCAGAACAGTATAATGATATACCAAGTCAACTCACTAAAAATTACAAGAATAACTATTGAAATGTCCAGCTATTGCATGAGTAGTTAACAGATCAATATTGGGTTTGAACCTGGAACTGCAGCACGACTGCGTAGTTCTGCAGATAATGCATCTACCTGTTCTTTTGTTGGAACCTATAATATAAAAAAGGAGAAAAGACTACAGTATAAGCTAATACTGAAGAAAACTTTGTTTTGCTACTTTATTTAAAAATCATTTAATGCTAGTTTTGCAATGCCAAGATAGCAACCTTTCCAGTCAAAAGAAGCCATAGAAGACCTTCCGGTAATGGCTCTCCGCCAGGCTTTGCAGCTGGCAATAACTTTTGGCATTCAGGAATTGTTAGACCCCTGAACCGAATTCCCTGAGGAAATCAGAAGCTCATACATAAGAATTCCACCTGGTAAAACTTCTTGCACATTCCGAAAAACTTAAAAACTGAAAACAATACAAGGTGAAGCCTAAAAGTTTAAGCCTGCACTTAGTACCTCCTCTGGGTCAAGTAATGAGGTTTCCCAAAGTAACCCTGTCATTCCTCTCATCCCACCAAGCACCTTGACAGTTATAGCACAAAAATGTTTCCATGAGAAGTAAGTAAACTTGTTTACATGTCAAATATACCCAAATTATAAAGCATTCTTATATACTGTTACCATATCAACAGTAATATTCCCGAGTTGAACTTTTCCATGTTCTGCTTTAATTTTCTTCAAGCGGTCCTGAAACCAAAGAAAAAAAATGAGAAAATATACTTCTAGAACTTTTTGAGATGAAAAAGAATTGCAAGAAAGATAAGATTCTAGAACTTAATAGAAGTTATTACAGGCTTCAAAATTGTAGCAAAATACCCCATGTTAGAATACAGTATTGAAAACTAGAACTGAACATTCCCAGAAACTAATTCCTACTATTAAAGTTTAGGCAGAACCTCATTTTAGCATTCAAGCAACCTAAACACAAAATGCAATCATCCCAATGGAATGTGATTTCATTAAAGCTATTTAAACAAACCTGTTGTTCTGGAATCAATTCCCTCAGCTGAGATTTAAGATCCTGCATTCCCAAACCCAAAGAAAAAATAGGATTAGCATGAGCTATATAAAACAACAACCGAGAAAATGAAAGGATGAATAAACAGAGACGGTAAAATATAAAACTTTTACACGTTTTTTTTTTTTTTGAAATAATAAAACTTTTACGCATGTTGGTTTCATCTAAACTCAAATGCATTAGATATCTGTGAGTAGAAAAATATTTGAGATCGATTCCCGCTTACACAGCCAAGAGATTGGAAGGGCTAAAAGAAATAAAAGGGTTAGCACCCAATACGAAGTGCTCCTGCAATATTGATTAAAAGAAAAAAAATACATATTTGGCAGTGTAAACAACATATACTTAAATACAGAGAGAAGGAGAGAAAGTACAAGATCAGATGAGCTCTGTATTTGAAGCCATCGCACAGAATTGCTGATATTAGATTGCTGCGTCTGTAACATAATTGTTAGTCAATAATAATCCAAATTGAATTCATCCATCAAATGAAAAGAAAGAAAGTAATGAATTCATCCATCAAATGAACGTCAAATCTGATAATATCACTTACAACACGAGACCGCAGCCTAGAAAGTGCAGTTACGCTCCTGAAGAACACCATTGCTAGCTTCACTCAGATCACACTGCCACCATTTCGCAACAATCAGTCCATGAAACGCAAAGAAAAACTAACCAACATAAAGGGTTTCTTTTTTCTTTTTTTTGAAAGAAAGATGGGGAAATATGATAGTTGATCTGAAATTAAACCTGAAAGAACGAACTTTTTCAAGTTTGTGCCAATGAGCAAAAAAGAAGAGACCCTTTTATAAGAGTGAATGTAGAACAAAAGTCAGAATACGATTTTTTGCAGTGGAGGAGAAAGAGAAAGGGAATTGAAGAGAAAGGGCTGTACCTAAATCAGAGGAATAACAGCGAATCTGCAGAGGAAAAAACGAGCGAGCGAGAGTTGAAGTTGGAAGGAGAAGAATGGTTAGGAAAGGAAAATAATTTAACTTGAAAGCATATTTTCTTTGTTATTTATTTATTTATTTGGGTAAAACTCATTTTATAATTTAAATAATTTATAGAGTTTAGACACATGGCGAGAACAATTCAAGTGGCAACTAACAAGCCAAAGCCAAAAAATTGGCACCATTCTTTTGACTTGCTACAAAATAGTCAAAATCCAAGACATATTTAATTATAAAAAAAATGATTTTTTTAATTGCTTTTTTATTTTTCTTTAATATATTTTAGCAAAAATAAATAATTTTTTTCACCTATTTGAATTTTCTTTGCTGATTTCTCAAAAAAAGAAAAAAAAAATTAGCTAAAAATTTTGGGCCTTGAACAAAATTTGCAACATGATTATGAATAATTTTAAGTTTTTCATGAAGGTCATAAAACAGATTTAAAAAACTAAATTTAAATAAAACTAACACGTTAATATCAAATTAAAAATATCTATATATGAACTGAAAGCGTAATTAAATCTATAATGAAAGAGAACAACATGTCATGTAATTAATTTTTTAAATTATCATGTAATTTTTTAGCTCTCTCTATTTTTAATAATAAGATGTCATGATAGAAAATTTTACGTATAATTTGAAAATCGTAATTGCATATTTATAGGTTTAATTTTTATTATTCATAATTTGATCATCACAGAATTAAAAATAATATTTTACTTTATACACATAAAAATTTATACTTTAATTTGATGCATTAAAACTCAAAATATTTTTAAAATTATCATATCATTTTAAATGAACTCAATTAATTTGATAGTATTTTATGCATAATAATTTATACATATAAATTCGTACGATAAATTAAAACCTAACATTTTTATTAAAATAAAAGGATAATTTTTTATACAATATAATTAATACATAAAAGTTGAAAAATCATGGTCAAACATTTTAGGTGATGAATTGTGGGCAAATCAATAATATATATATTTATACACACACACACACATATATATGTCATCTTCTCCTTCTCTTTCTTTCATATTTCTCTTCTTTGGGAGATTATTTGATTTACAATTTTCTTCATGATAATTGCATATTAGTGCTAATATGTATAACGTGTAGAGCTTAAATTAGAGAGCTATAATCACCAAACCCTCTCTAGTTCCACACACACACACACACACACATATATATATATATATATATAATGTCTTGTTATAATTTTGTATACAAAATATCTCTTATTCCAATACAACTAAGCGAACCACATTAATTATATGGAAAAAAATTTATCTTATCTCCTAAGAAAAATTAATTTTCTGGAATACCTTAAATTATTTTTTTTGTAATTTAGGATTTAATTATAAATATAAATTCTTAATTTTTTTAATTTCTAATTTTAATTTAGAGTAAAAATAAAGTAAAATTGATGGAGAATTAAATTGAAAATAATTTTGAAAAAAATTGGTAAAAATTTGGGTTCTTGGTGTATTTTTGAAATAAAAATAAGAAAACAGGGATCAAAATACAATTTAGAGAATTTTCACCACGTCAGATGCCCGGTCAGCAGGCCCAACGAATCAGGACGCGCCGCGTGGCAATAGACGCTGACACGGCGCCATGCAGGCGATCCACGTGCCCGTGATCGAATGGCCCAGATCTATTCCCGCGCGAACGGACGGCCCAGATGCATTCCGTCTCCAAACGCGATCGGACAGTCAGATTTGAACGCGATCATACGGTCCAGAGTGGATCGCGATGAATGGTTCAGATTCACTTCCTATTTAATCACGATCAGACGGTCGAGATCAAACGCGATGGACGGCCCAGATCAAAAGCGGACAGATATAAATAACCTTCATCCACACCAAACCCTAATCCTAGCCACGAGACCCCCTCGCCGAAGAAGAAGACCCGGCTGCCGGAAGGACACCACCGCCACTCGCCACCGCACCGGAGTTTTTTCCGACTGCCAAAAAAAGGTAAAAAATTTCTTTTTGCTCGAAATTCAATTTTAAGCACACCCATGGCCAAATCGGAGCAAAAAAAAATCGGTTAATACGTCAAAAACACCG